CAGTGTTTCATGTTATTATTTTGGCTCGCAAAATCAGTGAGGTGTTTAATTTCCAGAGAATGATTTAAAAAAAAAAATCATAGTGGTAGTAGAATGTCTTCAGATTTTAATTCAGAAAAAGAACAGATTTTGTGCTCTAGTTCTGCAAAACCCCGCTTTAAAATGCTATTTGAGTAAAATATTTCATGTTAAAAAAAATATTAGAATAATATTAGCATTTGTAAGAACTGGTTCTTTTAGCATGATCATCAAGGGAGGGGAGGGGAGTGGTGGCGCAGAGGTTAGAGAAGGTGGGCCTGTGATCGGAAGATCGCCGGTCCAAGCCCCGGTACCGACAATATCAAAAATGTGGGTGGGGTAGGTGAAGCACCCACACCTGCCCCAACCCTCATTCGTCCCACCCTGGGCCCTTGAGCAAGGCCCTTAACCCCCACCATCTGCTCCTCCGGGTGTCCTAGATAGCAGCTCTCTGCTCCACACAGAGGGCCGTGGTAGCTCCGTGGCTGCGTCAGGAAGGGCAGGCGTAAAAGTAACTGCCAAGTCTTTGTGCGTCTTAGTTCGCTGTGGCGACCCCTAACGCAGCGAGCAGCTGAAATAAAATAATTTTAAAAAAAAATCAAGGGTCAATAAGCCTTTTAACACATGCACTGCAGTTTTAGACATAATAGAAGAAGAAGACCCCGGACACCTGGGAGAGATGTCTCATCGCTGTTTGGGAACATCTTGGAGCCCTCCCAGAAAAGCTGGAAGAAGTGAGCAAGATGTTTTGGCCTCTGGCTCAAGCTGCTGCCCCTGAGACCTAACTTAGAACAAAGAGGAAGATGACAGTGTTGTAATGTAACAAAGTAGAAACACTTCGTTACTTTACTTAAGTAGAATTTTGACATATTTTTACAAGAAATCTGATTGGGCAATGCTTGTTTGTTCTCCCAGTCTGTGACTTCATGCGGCCACTTCTCTCTCCCGCTCAGTCACAAACCAGCCTCTCCCCCGCTGCTTGTGTGAAAACTGCAGCTCCCACTGTGAACAAGCTAGATGCATATGCAGATATCAATCATTATAACTGGTCTTTTTTGTTGACTCACAGTGGAGACACATTCCTGATGGGTGTGGAAATGATGGTAGCTGCTAAAAAGGAGAGGTTTGGTGTTCTCCAGGACATGAACTGCTTCAAGCGCATAAGAACTTCTAGTTCATATGATATTATCCTATAATATATATTTTATTATTAATTAGTCAGAAAGAAACAAGCCATAACCAAACAGAACCAAGCTCAGTAAACAAGCCAACTACACAACAATGTAGGTTTTCTAATAGCTTTATTAATAAAGGTTAATAAAGGTTGAATTAATGTACCTCATTAGAATCAGACATTTTAAAGTTCAATCTTTCATTGTTCAGTTCAGTAAAGTAATTTTATGGTAAGATACTTGTACTTTCACTGAAGTATCACTTTGAGGTACTTTATACAACACTGGAAGATGATGGGTGGATTGTCAGAAAATTAAACATTTCATTCAACCTTTAATTAAACAGGTTAGACTCATTGAGTCTCAAGGACTCATTTTCAAGAAACCTGCTTTAGGCAAAGAACACAAATGAGGTACAGACAATAGACAATCATATAAAATGAAAAGTAAATAATAGAAATTATATAAAAACGAAACAAAAACAGCCGCATGTAATTATTATTAAATTATACATGTATTAAATTATAATTAAATTAGCTTCCATCAAAGGAGTGCTTATCCCCCTTGCATGCCAAACTTCAAACAAAGGTGGTGCGTAGCGCTCAGAGTTCATTTTGAGGATGACTTTCCTGCAAAAGTTTATCTGAAACATCATTAACATTGATAGAGTTGTAGAGATTGCTAATGTCAGTTAGCTGTAGTGGCCGTCTTGAATAGGACTTCCTCCAAAAGTTATTCAGTCGTAGATGTATACCCAGTGATTAATTACTATTTGATTAAAATACAGATATTTTGCTAACAGATGACAGACAAACGAGCACAGGTTGTTTTCGAGAGCAGCTTCAGGGTGCAGTACTCTTTCCAGCCTTTAGGGGGAGACAACGCCCCGGCGCTGTGTGCAGACTGACCGTTCGAAGAAGAAGAAGAAGAAGTTTCTAGAGTCCTGTTACGTCCTGGTTGTTTTGGAGCGAACCTCCGTCCCTGTGCATGTTTTCAGCCGGCGGGTTCTGCTCGGACGGATTGCTCGGCTCTCAGCAGAGATGTTCGGGTGTTTAGTCGCCGGCAGGCTGGTGCAAACCGACGCCCTGCAGGTCGCACCGGACAAGTTTGTGTTCAACCTGGCGGACTACGAGAACGTGAATCACGTGGTGGTGTTCATGCTGGGCTCGGTGCCGTTTCCCACCGGCACAGGAGGAGCCGTCTACTTCTCCTTTCCCGACCCACTGAGAGGCGGCCCGGTGTGGCAGCTGCTCGGCTTCATCACCAACGAGAAGCCCAGCGCCATCTTCAAGATCTCCGGGCTGAAGTCCGGGGAGGGCGGCGCGCACCCCTTCGGGGCCATGGCCTCCGCGCAGCCGTCCGTGGCTCAGGTGGGCGTGTCCGTGGAGCCCCTGGAGCAGCTGCTCCAGCAGATCCCGGTGTCCAGCGCCGCCGTGTCCACCGTGGACACGTTCATGCAGTTCACCCAGAAGATGCTGGACAGTCTCTACAACTTCGTCTCGTCCTTCGCCCTGACGCAGGCGCAGATGACGCCGAACCCCACAGAGACCTTCATCCCGTCCAGCTGCGTCCTCAGGTGGTTCGAGAACTTCCAGAGAAGGATGGCCCAGAACCCGAACTTCTGGAAGAACTGATCACCAACAGAGCCTGCAGGACTTTCACGTGCCTCCATGTTGACAATATATGTAATAAAGTTTGTCTTTTTGCTGAATTTGAACTTTTTAGTCTCTGAGTTTGGACCTTTTTTTTTTTTTCTGGTTTGGGCATTTTCAGGGTTTGAATTTGGACGTTTTTAGGGTCTCAGTTTGGACATTTTAGTCTTGAGTTTGAACTTTTTTAATCTCTGAGTTTGAACTTTTTTTAATCTCTGAGTTTGAACTTTTTTTAATCTCTGAGTTTAAACTTTTTTAGTCCGAGATTGGACATTTTAGTCTTGAGTTTGGACATTTTAGTCTTGAGTTTGAACTTTTTTAATCTCTGAGTTTGAACTTTTTTAGTCCGAGTTTGGACATTTTAGTCTTGAGTTTGGACATTTTTAATCTCCCGAGTTTGGACTTTTTCAGGGTCTGAATTTGGACGTTTTTAGGGTCTCAGTTTGGACATTTTTAGTCTTGAGTTTGAACTTTTTTTTTAATCTCTGAGTTTGGACTTTTTCAGGGTCTGAATTTGGACATTTTAGTCTTGAGTTTGGACATTCTTAGCGTCTCCTCTGTTGACGTTTTTTGTAGGGGTGCACTGATAATTGGCCCTGATTTCCTTAATTTTGGGAACTCGACCGATGCATGAAATTTTTGTAGTTTTAACGATTGTCTATAAACGTCTTTCATATTTCAGAGCACTACCTCATGGCCAGTTAAAACAAATTTGTACTTCTAGGATATTGTTCAAGGGTTTGTTTTCAATAAAATGGAAAATTGAAGGTGCATTGTGACCTTATAACACCCGAGTGTCGCTTATAAAACAAAATCAGTATCAGCCAAAATCGAAATTGGCAGGTCAGACTTTAGACATCGGTGATTGGCCAGAAAACTGAAATCAGTGCACCCCTAATTTTTTGATACACCTGCCATGTCTGAGCCTCGACTGATTTAAATGGAAACGGTTAAATAGAATCATGTTTTTAGATTTGCTTGATGTTTATTTTCTGTTTTGGTGGGGTGGGGGTCATATTGGTGCCGACACAAATGGTCCCTGAAACTCACGGATCCGTCTACTTTAGTCCCAATTCCTTGAACACGTGTATGCCAAAGCTTAAACCTTCCTGCTCGGAGTCCGTGTTGGGGATCAGTCTCGGCTACTACCACCAGGTTTTAGTTCTTTATGAAGCGTTTCTGCTTCAATGACAGTGTAACATGTTTTAACTGTTGGTAATGAAATATTAAATGTCAGTTTTCAACCTGTGTTCAGAAATTTAACCAGAAAAATGAATTTCCTGTAAAAATTAGAGTGCTAGTTGTAAAGCTCAGTAACAGCTAAAATGAGCAAAACAACGCTAAAAACTAAAATTATCAAACTAACACATATAGCTAGGACCAAGAAACAACAGCGAAAAGTGGCAAACCAAAAGCTAGGACCAGGAAATCAGCTATAAGCTATAATTAGCAAAACAGTAGCTGAAAGTTAACATTGGAAGAATGATAGCTGAAAGTTAATACATTGGCAAAAGAAAGATAAAATCTAAAATTAAAGTGAGGACCAGCAAAATTGGCAGAACAATAGTTTAAATGAGCAGATATAAGCCAAAAGCTAAAATTAGCAAAACAGTAGACAAAACTTCATTAGCAAAACAGCTACAAGTTAAAATGAGCTAAATAGTAAATAAAATGAGGAAAATAACAGTTTTTGAAGAGTTCTCAATTAACTTATATAGATAGGGAAAAAAGTAAATAAAGCAAAACATTTAAAAACATTAAAAATCATAATTTTGATGGAGCTGAGTGTTAGGAGCAAAGTGTTCTGTAGTTTGCAACAAAAATGTACAGCAAAAACTAAAAAGAGGAAAACAGCATTTGATCGCTGACTGTTCAAGATAAATATTAGTTTTAATTTACAAACTGATCAAAACTTCCTGTGATTTGTCACTGAACATGAAAGCCTGAAAAGTACGGAAGCACATTTGTGCCATAATTAAAAAAAAAAAAAAAAGTATTACATCATAATGTGAAAGGTTCAATTTAAACAAGTTTTTATAAACATATCTTTATGTTCTTAAAATTTATTTTTTATGTTTAAACAATATATTAAATCTTTTATGATAAAATTAAATTCAGCTTGAACATAAAAAATATGAGCAAATGTAAAAAATAATTCACATATAAATAAACATTCACTCAATTTAAATAGTATAAACCAAGTAGATTTTTTTTACCTTAAAAGTAAAGTATGAAAATTTAAATATAAGATTTAAACTGTTAAAAAATATAAAATTGGATGTTTTATTTGCCGTTATATTTGCTTAATTTTTTTAAATCAAACAAAGCTTTCTCTGCTGTTTTTCCATACATACGGTTTATAAACATAGAAGTTTGTAAAATGAATAAAAAATGCAAATGTTTTTAAGAATAAATACTTGTCAGACTTTTATTAGAAACATTTTATCAGCATAAAGAATATGAAACCCTTTAGTCAGTCAACACTGAAATAACCGGAACAATAAATCACTTTGTAAATATAACACTTTTCTTTGCTTTTTATGAATTTCAACATGATTTCAAACAAGAAATGCACCACCGACCTGGGTCAGAACAGAACTAAAAATATGAGCTGGACAGTGCGGGACAAAAAATAAATAAATAAATAAAGAGTTTATATTATTACGGGATCCAGATCGGAGTCAGCTTCATGTCACATTTTTCTCAAACAAAAGCAAACTCTCGTCAGATCGTGACAAACCAAACGCTTCAGTCCTGCTGGCGACGAGTCCAGTTCCTCCGGTACTTTTTGTCTGAATTCAACCAGAACTTCTCGCCTGAATCAAGTCTTTGTCTTGGCTTCTCCTCCTCTTACGGGATTCATGCTCGTCGTTTCTGTTCGACTCGTAAAAGGAATAAAAAGCTAGAAATTGTCTTTGCATACTCGAACCACAGCTCGTCTGTTTCCACGGCAACAATCCTCCTCTCTGGGTTGAAGGCACTTGGTTTTATGGCAGAAGGTGTCGGACCGGCGTCCAAATATAATCTAAAAATATATATTTATACTTTTGAATAGTCTCTGTGACGCTGAAAGGACAGGAAACCTGCCGTCCCTCTGAAGCAGGACGAGCAGGAAACTAACATTCAGGTCGGGTTTAATCCAAGCAGCTCAGAGGTCAAAGGTCAACCTTTTCCACCAGGAACAAGATCTCCGACAGAAACAAGAAAAATCTGATTCTGGTCATGTTGCCAAACAGATCCAAAAGTCAAACCAAGCGATGACCTGAGCGTGGAGTTGTTTTCTGTTGAGAACATGATTTAATCTGGACCAGATTACAGATGATTCAATATAAACGATGGAAACAACCAGGCAGAAATATGACTTTATCTGTTTCTTTAACGGATTAACTCGTCCTGTAAACAAAAAGCTGTACATTAAAGGGATATTCCACACATTTTAAAGTGGGCTTCCGTGGAAAAGACATAATTACAAATTGGGGACTTTCCTGAGAAAAAGCTAAAACTGAATTCTTAAAGTTCAAACAAACAAACAAAATAAGTGAAATTAGCAACAGCAGCAAAAATGCTAAAATTAGCAAAACCATTGTTAAAATCAGCTAAACAGTAGCTAAAAGGACAAAAAAAAAAAAAAGAGTCAATAGCTGAGGCAGATTAAAAAAAAATCATGATTTTGAAGGAATTAACGATAGATCAATGACTTTCTATTGGGTACATATTTGTAAATAAATTAAATTGTTCCAAACGTGTAAGTTACAAACATTAAAAGTCACAAAACACTATTCCAGGTCGAGACGGATGTTTGACTGAACGTTGACTCAACATCCACACTGTTAGTATCTTACCTGCTGCAGATAGCTCTTTGAAACTTGGCTTAGAGTTTAATCCTGACAGGAGTGACAAGCTAAAGGCTAGTCTGAACGCAGCTAAAATTAAAGTGGAACTATGGCGCCTTCAAACGGTCCCAGTCTCTAAAACAACTCACTTCCTGCATCACGAGTCACATAAAAAAAGCGGCAGCAGCTAGCTGTAACACTTCCACTGCACCCTGTGCTCTAATCTGTAAATATTTAATTTACTTTAGTCCAAAATTAGCAGCGATGTAAAGGCTTAAACGAAAGCTTTTGATTGAAAAACCATAAAACGTTGAAAATTAGAGGTTTTATGATGATAACATTGACGTTGGTCTCACAAATAACCACAAACATTTACGCAAATAATTATAACGCAAACCTGGCAGTTACTGAAAGCCGACAGCTCAGGGGCCGGCCGGCCAACGCTGACATTACCTAAATTTATTTCAAGATTTTGAATCTAGTTTTACTTAGAACTCATCAGCAGGTGAACTGATCTGTACAGTCCTCTCATCCATCATTTATATAACGGGATGTCTGACAGAAATATGTAGTGTTTCTTTATTTAGAAATCAAGTTATATTTTGGAAGAACTCACCTGTGGGCCAGGTGTGGCCCCCAAGCTGCCCGTTGTATGTTTGCATGGACAGCTGTGAAAGTTTATAGAGACTGGAGCTGCTTTAAGACTTTTAGTTTTTGATTTTCGATTTAAAAAACAAAAAAACAAAGTCGAAATCCTTACTCAGGAAAATCAGAAACTACCGACCTCAGACTCAAAGATGGCCGCCTCAGGCATAAAACGAGGCGACAGCTGAGATCTACAATCATTATTACTGAACATGATGCTTCAGTTTTATATGCATAAAGCTGATAAATCCTTTATTCACTTGTATTGCTAATGGTATTTTCAATGGTAACAGGAAATATATTATTTGTTCATAATTTTTCCACAGAATCCCACATCTAAATGAGCAGAATATCCCTTTAACATGGATTTTTTTTTATTATAACATGCGCCTGCAGCAGCGTTTAGAACAACCAAAATGTTTCTTTAAGACTGAAATCATGTTGATGTAAGTTTTGAAGAGGATTATTTCAACAATAAACTCAAAATAAAAACAGGAAACAAGTTTCTAGTTCAGTAAAAAGCATAAAGATCTGACCTGATGGTTCTGCGACATCTGCAAACCTGCAGAACACAACAATCCCACAACAGTTCGTGTCGCTGACCTCTGAAGCTGGATTACGTCTCACCGAAGTAACTTCAGGCTCCGCTCTGAGGGATTACCGTCAACAAGTGCACCGTGTCACTAAATCATATAAATAAATCCTCTATAGTCTGTATTTACAATCCATGTTGGCTTTAGGGCAGGTAGACTGATCTGGTCTCGTAAGGTTCATGTAAGAACATGAGTCTTACAAGACCACAAGACTCTCAGGGTGCAGCTGCAAGAAAGAAGATCAGGTCACGTTAGAACGACGCTACTGTCGCAGGAAACAAAACCGAGTCTCGAAACAAACTTGAGAAGGTTTAGAGTCAGGTTGGAGACACCTGAGATGGGTTTGGTTAAACGGTCCTGCAGTGACGCTGTTTTTGAGAAAATTACTTTGAACGTTCAGAATTCGACTGACGAGCCTGTGCAACTCGTGAGGAGACGGAGAACCTCCCGCAGACGTTTTGAGACATTCTCCCCTAGAGAATAACATTTGACCACTAATCACCAGCGGTCGCAGCCCATTGAGATCCTGGTTTCACAGCGCACCAGTTCACTTGTTATAAATTGTTGTGCTAAGTTACAAAAAACAAAAATAAATTAATAAAAATTGCCCTCAGTCGTAGAAAAGGGCTGGGGGCTGTAGGAGTCAAAACTCGTGGCGTCCTGTATGGAAAGTGTGCAGCGTAGGATGGGGTCACCTCTGCCAGCCAATCAGAACAAGCCTCAGAGTGAAGCAGAGGTGCCATATATGGTTTGATGAGGGCGGGGCCAATGACCTTAAATCTGGGGAGAAAAAACAAGACGAATAAAGATGTCACGTTAAAAAGGAAAACGTTTACAGTGAAGATTGCGCTGTATGGACTCTGATGGGGCTCACTGTTGGGTGGGGGGTCTTTGCATTCGCCCTCCTCAATCGTGACATCATCAATCGCGATATCGCCTTCGATCCCAGGGCCTCGGACCCCCTCCATCACCATCTACAAAACAAGCAAAGAAGCCTTGGCAGTTGATGCAGTTTTAATGGGTCTCTTGCAGTAAAACATCTGGATTCTCTCTGCTGCATGATCCCATCCATATCTGCATTCAGCTGCAGTCAGGCAGCAGGTGGTGTGTCCTGTACCTGAAAGGCTGCAGTCGGGTGGATGTCGACCCGAGCCTGCCTCCAGTAGTTTCCTTGGTTACCGGACAAACTCCAGACTAAGGTGTCCGTCAACGTCTGACCTTTCTGACGCAAGAAGATGTTCAGCTTTCCTACGGGACAAACAAACTTTGATGTTTAGGACACCCTCCGTCATCCCCGAGCGGTGAACGTCTCCCCCCACCACTGCCATGCTCTCACCTATGTGTTTTCCATACATGTGGTAGTAGAAGGTGAAGCAGTAGGTGGGGCTGTTGCCGACGGAGGAAGAGGAGATAAAATTCTTGGAGTTCATGTTGAAAGTTGGGGACAGCAGACGAGCCTTGTCGCCCTCCAGCCTCGGCCTCGACGTCTCGATGTACATGTAGAAACCTGAGGGACAGGAAGTCAGGGTCACAGGTCGGCTGAATTACAGGCCAAGCATGCCTGGTAGGAATCACCCTCCATCTTTCATGTGCAGGATAAAGGTTCTCCAGAACCAGATGAGGAGTTATAATGTTGGTAGGGAGGCTCTAAGGTGATGGACAGGGTGGGATTTATAAAAACGTAACAAGTCATATTGCACTGAGCTGGGAGCGTTCTGCGTGGAGTTTACATGATCTCCCTCTCCTTGTGTTGTCTCTGGCTTCTTCCCACACTTCTGAGTCTTGCTAGGTTTTCTTACCGATGTCCCAATCCGGTCCTCGACAGCCTTTATCCTGCTTATTTTAGAGTTTTTTATGATTTGTTTACTAGGCTTCTGCAGAACTCAATGCCAGCCTAACGAGGTACAGCCGGTCCTCTCCTCTACAGATGCTCAAGTTTTAAATCTGGTGTGCAAAAAAAACCATCTAAAACAAGAAGCAGCAATGAGCAACGCTGAGTTCCCTGCCTGTGATTATTTACTGTCTGTTTGTGCACCAAACCCTGATGTTTTTACCATAACAGTTCTGTAGAAATACTCAGATTAAATGTAGTATTTTAGGATGTTTGGGAACATTTACACATTGTGAAAAACATGATCAGGAATTAGTTTCTGTAAATCTATCTGTTGCAGATAGAAACGTGTTTGTGCCTGTTGTCGCACCCTGCTTCGAGCCGGAGCGGTCAGAGCTCGGTCCGGTGTTGGGCGTGTATTTTGTGTCCCGTGAGGCGGCGCGGTGGCGAGTCCAGTCGAAATCATCCGCTTTGTCCTGAGAGAACAAGCATAACGCCTCCTCCTCAAAACCACACTGGAACTCCCCTGAAAACACACGTGGTTTACAATTACACACAAACAAACATCTGATCCACGCAGCAGATCCAGCTTTGACCAGAGGCCTAGCTCAGAACGGAAAAGTGGGAGTTTTGATCCGATACTCACTGAGATGTGGGTTCACAGGAGCTGCAAACACACAGAGAGCACGATCAGAGCAGATCCAACAGAGACTTTATTCATTAAACAAAACCCTATTTACTGTTTATTAAAGCTTTCATCTTTAAGAAAGATTTTAATTTGGAGAAGTAAAAAAAAAAGTTGGTAAAATTCTTAATTTCTTCTGAAATGTGCTGCAGCTAAAATAAAGGTTAAATAACCACCTTAAATGTTTATTCAGTGGATTAATACCACCTTAAACCTTTAGTCAGCAGATTAATACTACCTTAAATCTTTAGTCAGTGGATTAATACCACCTTAAATGTTTAGTCAGTGGATTA